ATCTCCTCCCTCCAGGGATCAATGTCTCAGCCAACCAAGACGAAGAACTGGATCACGAGACTTTCCTGATGCAAATTGACCGGGAGACAAAGAAGTGCACCTTCTATTCCAGCACTGGGGGCTACTGGACCCTGGTCACCCACGGGGGGATCCAGGCCACAGCCACGCAAGTGTGAGTGCACCATCCCCACCTCTATGACCACCTTCACCTCCACCTCCACCATCACCATCACCACCTTCACCATCACCATCTCTACCATCACCATCACCACCTCCACCATCACCATCTCTACCATCACCATCACCACCACCTCCACCATCACCACCACCTCCACCATCGCCATCATCACCTCCACCATCATCTCTATTACCACTACCACCTGCACCACCACCTCCACCTCAACCACAGGGACCACACAGCAGCCCAGCCAGGGAAGGATGCCCACTGGGGTGAAGGACAGCTCTTACTGGTGGGGGGGTATCAGTGGAAGGCAAAGTGCCTGTCCCTCCCCCCGAGGGAGTGGTATTGGACTTGAGGGGGATGGGGAGGCCTGACCCTGAGCCCCCACGTCCTGCTCCTCTGAAGGGCCCTTGGCCTGCCCCTTCCAGTTCTGAGAACACCATGTTTGAGCTGGAGTGGCGGGGTCGGCGGGTGGCCCTCAAGGCCAGCAATGGGCGCTATGTGTGCATGAAGAAGAACGGGCAGCTGGCGGCCATCAGCGACTTTGTGGGTGAGCACTCCCCTCGCTCCCTGGGGAGACTGGGGCGGGGCCCTCTGCCCGGGGACAGGGCCAGCTCGGAGACCCTGTCTCCACGAGGGCTGGCCCCACTCCCTCCCCGTGAAGCTGCTGCTGTCCACGCCAGTAATCACACTTGCTAGTCCAGACCCTTGTTCCTGACGTTGGGGAGCAGATCCGGAGCACCCTGATCACTCCTGCACATTTGGGGAACCGGGGGCTCAACGGCCGCAGGCCCCTGGCTAAGGCCACATAAGGCAATGGCAGTGGCAGATCGAGGCACACAAGCCGGGCAGTGAGTCCGGACCTGGAGCTCTTCCAGGGGAGCCCCGTTAAGGCCCCTCAACCCCTTTCTCGCCGTCAGGTGAGGACGAGGAGTTTATCCTCAAGCTCATCAACCGGCCCATCCTCGTGCTGCGGGGCCTGGACGGCTTCGTCTGCCACCGCCGAGGCTCCAACCAGCTGGACACCAACCGCTCCGTCTACGACGTGTTCCACCTGAGCTTCAGCGACGGCGCCTACCAGATCCGAGGTGCGGGCGTGCGGGATGGGGGCGGGGGGAGCGCGAGGAGCTGGGGCCCGGAGAGAGTGGGGGGCGCCGAGGGGGATGGGGGGAGCGCGGGGCCGGGAGCGTGCCGCCCGCCGACCCCCGCTCCCCTTAACCCCCAGGCCGCAGCGGCGGGTTCTGGCACACCGGCAGCCACGGCAGCGTGTGCAGCGACGGCGAGCGCGCCGAGGACTTCCTGTTTGAGTTCCGTGAGCGCGGCCGCCTGGCCATCCGCGCCCGGAGCGGAAAGTACCTGCGCGGCGGCGCCTCGGGGCTGCTGCGCGCGGACGCAGACGCACCGGCCGGGGCGACCCCCGCTCCCCTTAACCCCCAGGCCGCAGCGGCGGGTTCTGGCACACCGGCAGCCACGGCAGCGTGTGCAGCGACGGCGAGCGCGCCGAGGACTTCCTGTTTGAGTTCCGTGAGCGCGGCCGCCTGGCCATCCGCGCCCGGAGCGGAAAGTACCTGCGCGGCGGCGCCTCGGGGCTGCTGCGCGCGGACGCAGACGCACCGGCCGGGGTTGCTCTCTGGGAGTATTGAGTGCCGTCCTCCTGTCCCCCATTAAACCGTGTCTGTGACCAGCGGCTCGCGGGTCAGTGGCGCCGCTCGGGGTGGGGTAGGGTGTGCGCGGAGGGTCTGCAGGCTCGCTGGCCTCAGAGTGCTGCACAGGAGCAGTCCCTGGCCCCTCCTCCCTGGGGCTCCTGCGATGGCAGCTGGATATCTACCCCCTCCCCCACAATCCCTCATGCCCAGAAAATCCAAGGTCGGGATTTGTCCAGGAGGGTCCAGCTGATTGAACGTCCCACAACCGCATCCTGGACAACCAGTCCCGGGCCTCCTCTTGTCCGCCCCCCCCTCCCGGGATTGTCTCTCCTTGGCGCACGTCCCCTCCCTAAGCCCGGGAGAGGGGACCCCCACTCTACTCAGCAGGACCGGGGTCGGGGTGGGGGAGCTGGAAGGAGCCTGGTCCCAGGCCCCAGCAAGTCAGGTAGGTCAGAGGGTCTTTGGAGTCTCCATAGCACACATCTCTGCTCCCTTCCCCAAAGGCAGGGTCTTAGAGAATCCTGGAAGCACCTGATGGAGACGTGACACCCACCTGTCCCAAACAGGGCTGTGTGTGGTCAGCCATGGGGGAGAGGGCCCTTCTCAGCCTCTGCACCAGCCTGCTGCCACCCAGCCCCACTCAGCCTAGGAAGGGTGGATGACCCGGACAAGGCCCATGGTTCACCCATGTGCCTCCCCAAACCAGCTGGCACCCAAAACCCCTGGGTCCCCAAGGACCCCCACCCAGGGCAGTGTCTCTTACGGGCTGGGTAACCTTGGACTGTTGGAGGTGGGAGTGGGGTGGGAGGCATGCCCCCTGGGATTGGCCTGGACCTTGGGGACAGGGGTGATGGAGGGCTGGGGGTACAGTCTAGAGCCTGGAGTAGGGGGAGACCACAGACACAGGTGACCTCACCGACCCTTCCCCTCAGCCCACACCCCTCTCCCCACCCTGGGCAGCCCCCACCCTTGCCTGGGGCCTGAAGCCCCACCCCCAGTGAGTCTGGCCAATGTGAGGCACTTTGGGAAAGGAAGGAAGCGGTGCAGAGCTGGTTCCAGAGGGGAGTGGACACATATGGCCAGCGAGGACAGGAAGGGGTGAGGCATCCTGGGGGTGGGGAAGACCAGCAAGGACCCCTCCCTAGTCTCTCCCCAGGGCCCCCATTGGCTGACTCCCCGCCTCGCTGGCCTCCCCTCACCTTAGGGATGAAGAAGGGCTGGGAGCCAAATGGGCCAACACACTTCAAGATGGGCTCCAACTGACCATGCAAGTACCAGACGCAGGAGCCTGGTCCCGGAGGGACCGAGTGATTGCCCTGAGCTGTGGTCTGCACTGCCCCCTGGTGGCATATGGGACAGGAGGGTTGGGGGGCACTCTTGACCTGAAAGAAGCTGGCACCAGCGTTCAGGTGCTCCACAGGGTGCCAAGGAGGGGTCTCCTGTTTGCTGACCTTGGCCAGTGTACTTGGCTTCAGACAATCGCTGAGTGGAGCCCGCACAGCCTGGGGCAACAGCTGGAGAGGGGAGGCAGGGAAGAGTGCTTGGGGGTCCCTTTGGGCTGGACTGGCCACTCCATCCTCCCCCATGGCACTCAGGGAGGTGAAAGACGACCCTCAGAAACGGCTGGGGACAGGACTAAAGGGGTGCAGGCCCTTCACTGGCTGGGCCACAGCTCCCCTCCACGCTGCATTAAGGACCAGCAGAAGCTGGAGGTGGACTGCTTGCTCATCCTTGGAGAAGGCAGCTGTCACACTGCTCCCAGCAAACTCAGGAACAGAAGGAACAGGACAGTACTGAGTGGGCTGGCCCCCCTCCCCATCCTCCCTCCCACCCTGAAGAACCCTTCAGTGCTAGGTCCACGTGGCGATCAGCCACTCTCCCAGACCCCAACTCGGAACACCCCACCAGCCCCTCTCCCTCCATGGAGGGCGACGAGGAGGTGGCCTGGGTCCTCCTGGGCAGGGACCCTCATGGCCTGAACGGCCCTGCAGGGACCACTTCACCCCAGTGTTGAAGCTTCCTGCTGGCCTGAGGGCCCCCTAGAGGTCAGTTCAAGGCTCATCTGGGCCGTGCAGTGGCCACCAGACTTTTCCGGGGCTTGGAGCTGGGGGTGTGTCCAGGAATCCAGGTCAAAGCTGCCACCAGACTGAAGGGGGAGGGCTAAAAAACAGCCAAGGCCAAGGCAGAGCACCAGAAAGTGTCACTTTTTGAGGCGGGGTGCCTCACAGGCCCTGCACACACAGCAGGAAAGCACCAGCAGGAAAGCACCGTGTGAAGTCTGGGGGAGAGACACCCTCCCCAAAAGCACCAGAGCCACGCTGGGGCTGCTGTCTGCCCCCAGGGACCCTTGGAAACAATGCACAGTGCTGGGCGCTGGGTGTGGCCCCGGCCAGAGGCACCAAGTTGTTGTTTTGGCCACAGGGCACCTGCAGGAACACCCCTCCCCCACAGTCGTTGTGCTTTGGTCACAGGGAGCACCTCCCACCGGTAACCCCAGCGGCTGCAGAGAAGCGGGGCCAAGGCACCCAGAACGAGGCGGCTGGACAGGTGTGGACAGTGCTGGACAACAGGTCTGTGGGTGGGTGGGTGGTGCTGCCAAGAGGGGCAGCCCTGGGCTCTGGGCACCACGGTGGGAATGTGACAACCACCAAAACACACCCGCCCGAGGCTCAACCCAGAAGCCCTGTCTCTGCGGCCTCTGCAGGCCGCTAGGGCAACGATGCTCCTGCTCTGGAGTCTCTGGAGTCTGGACCCCATGGCCGGGGCCCTGCTTTCAAGTGGAGGGATGTCCGTGATCCAGCCCCGACGTTCTGGGTGGGAGGCGGCCCAGCGGTGTCGAGGCTGAGCGCGGAGGCCGTGGCAGCTGCCGGAGGAAAGGAAGCAGTGATGCGGGAGGACGAGCAGGCCTCTGCCCAGCGGGGTCACGGACCGCCTCGCTACCCTGACACACCTGCTAAACGAGCTGCCTCTTCTGAGCACACCCACCCGGGGGGCGCCAGGTGGCCATCCGGGGGGCCGGCTGCACTCACCCCAGACCTTCCCCAGCTGTAACCAGGCCCACAGTGCCACCCAGGTCAGGAGCCAGGTTTTCTCCATAAAACCACGAAGGTACTGAGTTGTTAGAGGGGCTGGAAGCAGGGACAGAGCCGGGGCGGGGTGGGGCCTACCTGGCATCACAGCAGGAGGAGGCTGGGGCTGCGGAGCTGCCTGTACACCTGCAGGAGCCTCTGGGCGGTGGCACAGGAGGTGGCTTCGTCCTCCGTGCACAGCCGGTCCCTCAGGGTCTGCACCTCCCGCAGCAGTGTCTACAGGAAGGAATGGGCGGCAACAGCTAGGGCCCCACCTTCCCACTGGGCACGTCAGCGGGTCCCTCTGGGGACACCCACCACGCACAGATCCTACTCGGACTGTGGTAGGTGGTCTAGGAAAAACACTCATCTGTGGCCTTAACGTGATGACCCCTCGGGACAGGAGGCGTGGCTGGGCTGAGGGAAGACCATGTCCCCAGGGGACAGGCGTGTCCTAGCCAATGTGGGACAGGTTGGAGGAGTGGCCATGCCCACACTGTCCCCACCTCACCCCTGCAGCAAGAGCCCAGACCCGACTCGGCTGTGAGGACTGGGAGCCCCTGCCAAGCTGGGCAACACCCCAGTGCCTGTGCGTGTCCCCAGAGGAGCCCAGGCTGGGGGAAGGTTCCGGGCACGGATCCCTGAAGGACCTCACCTCATGGTTGGCCTGGATCTGGTGGAGATACTGCAGGCGGAGGTCAGGCGGGCTGGAGCCCCGGGCAGCCTGCTCCATGACCAGCCTCTGGGGGGACACAAGGGGCACAAGGCTGGAGAGGGTGCTTCTCCCGTGTGTCCCCAGGTAGCACCCGGGGCTCCGGACACCTGTCCTCCAGCCCGCAGAGCCAGGTGGCCCTTCCCCCTCCCCGAATCATCCATCAGGCCTCCCTACCTCGCCCCCAGTTAAATAACCTTCACTTCGGGCGGCAGGGCACGCTAGCCCCAGCCTGATGATCATTTACTTGGAAGTAACTTTCTTCTCGGCCCTTTCCCCTCACTACCCACCTCCTATCGCCACCCCTTCCCCATCCTTGGCCTCAGGCCTTGGCACCGCTGTTCCTATCTTGGCCCACGAAAGGGCTGCTTCACGTCCTGCTTTCTGGAGGCAGCCTGGCCGGCTCTCAGGGCTGAACCCAAGCTTGCAGACGGACCCAGGAAGCAAGGCTCCCGCTGGCCTCCAGGGCAGAGCACTGAGAAGAGACCCCGACACCCCAAGGGGCAGCAGGAGATGCTGCCAGTGGCAGAAGCTGCACACCTGACAAGGCCCCCCAGATTCCAAGCGGCCAGGTGAATGAACGCCAGTTGTCACGAGAACACTCCCATTACTCAAGCACAATGTCAGCAGACGGAGGACAGAGGTCTGCAGCCCACAAGAAGATTCCCATCAAGGGAGTGTCCCCAGCGTTCCATTGGGGGCTGAAGCATGCCTCCCAAATTGACACTTGGAAGCCCCAGCTCCCAGCACCCCCGGTGATTGTGTTTGGAGAGAGGGTCTCCACAGATAATCAAGTTAAAACGAGGTCACGTGGGTTGGCTTTACTCCCATAGGACTGGTGTCCTTCTAAGAGAAGATCAGGACACGGATATGCACAGGGATGACCACGTGAGGACATAGGGAGGAGTCGGCCATCCATGCGCCCAGAAGAGAGGCCTCAGAAGGAACCACCCTGCGGACACCTGGATCCCTGTCTCCAAAGTGAACGCACTGTGTCCCATCTGCGGCACTTTGTTCCGGCAGCCCCAGGACACTAACTCCCTTTCTTGCTGAAAGTCTGGTCCATACGCTCCTCCCCTGGCTTCTCACGAACTGTGCACCACTCAACTGCCGCGCTCAGCGGGTCTGGAGACAGCCCTGCTGGTTTCAGGCCCAGCAAAAGCAACACGGGGCGCCCCCTGGGGGAGAGAAACGCAGGCGTGGGAGCTCTGCTCTAGGGACGGGGGACTCCTGAGCCTGGGAGTGAAGCCATGGATGTGCCACAGCAGGGCCATCACAGTAGTGCCTGAGGGGGGCCTCTGGTCATGCCTTGGCCCCCAGGCTCGCCTGGGTGCACTGCTAGGTCTAGAACAGCAGCCTCAGATCCCTGGCAGAGCTTGGACTGCAGGTTCTCCGACTCTTGGGGTCTGGGGTGGGGCCTGGGGACGTGCACCAAGTTCCCAGGTGAGGCTGACACAGAGTCCACGTTTAAGGAAAAGTGTGGGAATCAGTTGATAGCTGCCACCTCGGACCCCTCTGCACAGCTGAGGCTGCACACACTCAGAACAGGCAGGAGATGGGCCACCTGACCCTGTGCCCAGCCTGCCAAGGGCACCAGCTGACAGGCTTCCCTCCAGAACACAAAGACCTCCCCCTCAGATCCTGGGGTTGCAGCCCCAGTATCCACGCATGGCAGTGAAGCAGCAGGAAGGGCCCCAGGGGCTGTGTGTATGGGAGGGGCTGGCTGCCAACTCCCGCTTTCTTGGCAAAGACGTGGAGGCCCAGATGAACAGACACCTGGTCCCGGGGCCCGAGCCTGGCTTCTCCATTCAAGTGTAGAAGAAATCTCACGCTGGTCTCCAGTGGACTGTCTCCCTTTAACCACGTGTGCTCACAGGCCACTGGGAGCTACTGCCAGGAGGGACTGCCAGCAAGTCCCCCACCCACCTCCCAACCGCCCACAGCTTACCTGCAACCCCGGGCAGGAAGCCACAGACCACCAGGGTCCTGTCTCCCCACCACCCCACAGAGACTTCCCAAACAAGCCCACGATGACCGACAGACCTGCAAACGCCCGACGATGGCATGGTGTGCCCTGCACATGTTGGCCAGAGAGGAGCTCTCCACCTGGATCTCCATGGCCTGGATGGGCCCTGCTGGGCACAGGTCGGTCACGGCCACCTGCAACACACAAGGAACCTCACTGGCCGTCCACAGCCCTGACCTGCCCGAGGGCAGCGTGGCCGGCAGGAGTGTCCAAGCTGGCAGGGGCATGTGAAGCCTGGGCTTGTGCTCTACATCCCACTGTGGGCAAAGCTCAGGGGGGTCCCGGGGCTGGATCTCCACACTCAACATGAATTTTCACCTGAAGAACCAGCTAGCCAAGCAACAGCAAAGCTGCTCCTTTGGAATATCTGTCCAGGAAGACCCCTCTTCCCTCAGCATCCAGATCCGTGGCACGCACTCCAGAAAAACTGCCTGCTGTGGCTGCACCACCACGGACAGCCCACGGGCAGACCCACCCATGGCCCACACTGTGCATCTTGAGGCACTAGACAGCAGGGTCAGGGTTGCAGGTGTGAAAACAGGGAGGGGGCTGGGCAAGTGAGGTCAGCCCAGTGCCCTCCAGCCAAAGATGAAATCTGGCAAAGATGGGCGAAAGCCAGGACACAAGGCAAGACCCCAGGAGCCTAGGAACCTTAGGAAGGACACTGTCTCTGGCAGCTCTTCCTTCTGGCATCGTAGGATGCACTAGGACACCCACCCCTCTCCGCCACCTGCAAAACCACCACCAGGCCCCAGGGACACCCGACCTTGACACTGCCTAGTCTTGGCCTGACCTGAAAGGGCTGTCCAGTGGGCAGCCTCCAACCACCATCCTCAGCAAGGTGTGCCCGGCCACATGGGATGCTCTGCCAGAGCCTCCAACGCTGTAGCACAAGGGTCTGCTGGACATGTCCCCGAGGCTGCCACGAGGGTCTCAGGAAGGAAGGTTTGTGCGAGGAACTGAGGACTCCACCTTGGTGTCTCAGCAGCCCCTGCACATGGGGCGTCTGTGATGGGGCCCGGCACCCTGGTGGTCTAGGGGTTTAGTGGCCTGGAGTCTGGAGTCGCTCGTGCTGCCCCTGGGGGTACAAGTGAGCGACCCGCTCGGGCTGGCTGTGAACTCCAGCAGTACGCAGGGCAGGGGCCATGCGTGGAGAGCGCTGGACAGGGTGGTACTCATGGAGACCTGGCTGGGAGCCGACGCTGCCCCTGGCCCCACGAAGGCCACCCAATCACAGCCTGCCTCTCGAACTCGGATGCGTCGGAATCCTCTGGAGGGTGGGCCCCAGAATCTGATTCCTCTCGAGCAACCCAGGGACCCTACTCAGAACTGCTACCGTTGAGGCTGATTTCCCCACAAGCAGGACAGCTGACCCCTGCTTGCCTCGCGGATGATGAGGTGGACATCAGTGCCATCTGGGGCCACTCCCTGGACAGAGGACAGTGCTTGGGCCCTCACGATGTCTGCGACGGCATTCTCGGCAAGGAGCCACTGCAGGGTGGCAGAACACAGGGACACGCCTGGAAGAGAGAGGTGCGGCTGTGAGGCTGATCAGATCCTGGGAGAGGGAGGAAGGGTCCCAGGCCTCAGCGAAGCCAGATGGTGCCACCAACCTGCGTGACTGTCCCCTAAGGCGGCCCTGAGCAGCTCTGCCGACACCTTGATGGTGGCCACTGACGGGGGCAGGTACTTGGCCCTCAGGGACGCTGGTCCTGCCGGCTGGCTGACTGGCCCGCAGCAAGTTTCCAGGAAGGTGTGGATGGGGTCTCTGGCAGGGCTGAGCGGGCCCAGGGCCTGCGTGTGGGGTGCAGCCAGGCCGGGGAAGCGCAGGCCCTGCAGCATGTCCACTGTGTGCTCGCTCAGGGGCAGGCACACGCCGTCCTGCTCAGGCAGGACGTCAGGGGTGCGTTCTTTCGAAGAGGGGTCCTTGAAAGGGCCTGTGAGGGCAAGGGCCCCACCCACGACCTCCCTAAGGCTGTAGAATAGTGCGCAGGACACGGTCACGGGCAGGCCCAGCGCGCCGTCCTCTCCCGGGCCCAGAGGCAGCGTCACCTCACGCCGACCGCCAGGGCCGAGCTGGTCCACGGGGATGGTGTAGGTGATGGCCGAGACAGCCGAGTCCAGGTCTAAGGCCCGGGAGCTGCAGAGCACCTGGATGCACAGGGCCCAGCCCCGGTCCAGGCTGAAGCCGCTGCTGTTCTCCAGCAGGCAGGTAGCTGTCAGCATGTCCTGCAGCTGCAGGCGGCTCCAGGAGGTGCTGATGGTGCAGGAGATGGGCCTAGGACCCTCCCGGCTCGACAGCAGGGCGCAGCTCACGTTCATGGCTTCGTTGAGGCAGGTCAGGGCCTTGTCCCGCTGGTCAACTGCCTTCTTCAGAAAAGACACTCTGGAAACAGACATGGCTGCTGAGGGAAGGCCCAGACCTCATTCTTCCTCGAACATCAGGTGAAGAGCCCCCACCTCAGGGGCTCCTGTCCTGCCCGTGCAATCATCTGACCCAACCTCCTCCAACAGCAGAGGATGGAGCTGGGGCAGCCTGTACTTGGCAGCCTGGCCTCGCCCACCAGGCTCACGGAGCCTTCCCCCCACTCCCTTCAGGGCCAATGAGCCAGGGGTGCCCACGGTGGGGCTGGCCACCCCCACTGTGCTCCCCAACGTGTTCCAAGTTGGCTCCTTTGCTCCTCTGCAGTGCCACAGTGATGTCCCAGAGGATGGCAGGCACCCTAGAAATGACCCTAAAACACAGGGGCTTGGCGCCCACAGCTGGCCTTTAGTGCCGCCTTTGGCCAGGCAACACAACATCTGGGGCTATCTTAGGGGTCAGAGGTAAAGTAACAGGCCTGTCCCGGACCAGTGCTACCACCTAGGACACCGCCTTCCGTGGACACCATGCCAGCCTCTGCCCGAGTCTCAGCCCACTGATCACCTCTCAGAGACAGTGCCAATTCCAGACAGCAACTCCTTAATTTTTTGGCCAGCATTCGCCGAGGTCACTCTGGTGGGGTGAAGCGTCTCAGAGTGCGGGTCCAGGCTGCAGGTCATCAGCCGGCCTTTGGCAGACAGGGCCAGGAGCTCAGCACCCCCTGCAGGTAGACACACGTGGGGCCTGGTCAACAGGCAGGGAGAGGCATGCTGCTGGGAACATGCAGCAGTTCCCAGGACTCAGATAAGTGTTGGCAGAACACCTGTGCCCAGGTGAGGAAAAGAGGGTTCTGGAGACATTCCCGAAGAGCCTGGGGCGTGTCCTGAGCTGGGCATATGCTGTGAAGGGCCCTCCCTGGGACGGGGTGTCAGCACAGCAGAGATGTCATCTTATATATGGACAGGACTAAAAGGGACCAGACAAGGGCCATCAAATCAGCTGGGTGCATCCCCCTCTCAACAGCCCCCCAACCCCTAGCAAAGCTGCTCTGAGATTTCCTAAGAGAAGGAGGTGCTACACAGGCCCCAGGCCTCCTCCACTGGCCAGTCGGCTCTCACTGGGGCCTTTCTGGAAGCCTGCCGCCTCTGCTCGACATCTTTCTGTCTCCTTTCCCACTCCTGGCCTACCAGGGAGCTCCCCGGGAAACAGGCTCCGTCTCCTGTGACCTGCTGGTTCTCCAAGTCCAGTACCACTAGGCCCTGAGACCCGCCCAGAGGTGTAGCTCCCCCATTCCCTGCCACATGTGTCTCT